AAAAAAAATCAATAAAGAGTATAAAATTTTATAAACAATTAACAAAGTAGGCAGTAAACCTAATTTTACCTTACAGATTAAATTACCGTACAGAGGAACCATGGATAACCAAAAAAGTACTTAACCTATAATTGGTTTTCTTACAGATAACAAACTACAGTGCATAATCGTACTTTGGATAAATTTATAAACTACAAGTTGTGACAAATTAAATTTTAAAATTAAACAACATGTCGTACAAATGTATACAAGAAAGTAATTTTTATTGGTCTGTAACAAAATATTGTAATATAAAATAACACAATTATATTAAAAATCAAAATGACTGTAATTCTTCCAGTCCACAATGACCAATCAAAAGTCATGTGAAAGTAAGTTATAAAAATAAAAATAAACTCAGTACATATTAAAACATTGCAGATATTATTCTTCACTATCGCTACTAACAATATTATTATTTTCATTGTTATTCCACGGTAAAGATCTAAAGAAATCTGCATATTGAGACGGTATAATTCCTAAATTAACTAAACTAATGAGATCCTTATGTTTGTCTTTGGATAACTTGAGTGGCATTTTATAAGCTATTTCTAAAGTCGGTAAAGAAGATACAGCATTACGGCGGGTATTTGAAGATATAGTAACAGTTTTATACTCAATGTCTGTATGCTCACATTTATACAATAGCTTGTTAGGTTCTGATTTATCCACAAATACTTGTTTCACACAGTTCCACGTCACTTTAACCCCTTCTGTGTTTTTACTCCATATCTTATTATTCACGTGAGATTTTAAATCAAAGAAATTATTTCTTTTCATGTTCCGGACTTCATACGGTTCTCCTGTACATTTAGCCCAACGCACAAGCAAACGCCATTCGTCCGGAGTATATATAGTTTTATTTGCAGCCTCTCTTTCTATGAGAGCGTGTACGCTATCTCCCTCGTTTTGTGTGTGACCTTTTTCCAGAAATCTGTGTTTTATTGACACGTTAAATTTTTTGGCACAGTAAGTGTACAGAAAGAACACAAAACGGTTTCTATTTTGCCCGGCGCAGTTGTCCGACCAAAAGCGAAATTCCTTAACACCATTTCGTGCATTTTGCTCTATAAAATCCAGTAAGCAACTCCCCACTTCATTTGCTCCTCGCTTTGCAACCGTTTCGTCCCACATATAACAATAAGCTTTCTTCCCACCCATATCAAAAATTGTAAAATCCAAGCAAGATAATTTACGCTTGTAATAAAACAGACTGACTTGACCATGAGGACATGATAACACTTTTTGAAAATCAAAAACAGCAGTTAAAATTTGACCATTGGATTCAACAGCATCACGTTTGTCAATATTTTTTAGTTTACGAGCTTCATTTTTATTCGACAAATGAGTATTGTATACTTCTTTTTCTTGATCAGTGGGATCGTTTTTGTTCCGAAAAATATGACAAATGTCACACTGATCTTTCTTGGGAATAAAGAATCCTAAATTAAAATTTTTATTAACGATATCCCGATACTGACGTTCAGTAACTGCTTTGCTAGTATATATATTATCTGAATTATCACACCAATCCTTGTAAAGTTTAAACATTTTTGAGATGTTTAAACTGCCGTCCAGGTACAGCTTAGTGGAACTCTTGCGAATGTAGTGTGATTCAACGGGAGCAAAAGATCGCACATGGTCACACACACTCTTGATCGTGTCAGGCTTTATTATCTGATTGTGGTTAGTATGGCGTCCTCTCTTATCTTCCTCTATAATAATACTGCCGTCGTATTTATCCCAAGATGTTTTAATTATTTTGCCACTAACCGAGAGAGTATTTAGAAACATTGTTTTGCAGACATTGACTACTTCACTATGGCCTTGCTCGTGGTCAGGTATAACAGGTAAGAAGTATTTAAAAGTAAATTTACGATTGTTAGGCACTTCGCGGTTCAAGCATCTGTTCTTCAGTAGTTTTTTAGAATATTTAACAACAAACGCCCATTGCTTTTCTCGGTTTCCTAAACGCCAAAACTTTTGAAAACAAGCATAGCGTTGATCGTGCGTAATTTTTTCAAAACATCGGTATCTGCACTTACACGGAGCACCTAAAATTTTATCGTCCACTACCTTACCTTTTTTCGTGACATATTTTTGACCAATGTTTTTTAAATATTTACGTTTCACGTCGGACCACTCAGATGTACGTCGCAAACGTTTTTTAGATCTTTTCTTTGGTGGAGTAGAGAGTTCATCGTCACTGTAATAGTTAGGAGTGCTATAGGCATTACTAGTTGATGGTGACATAGTCCAGGGTCCATCATCATGAGTTGGACAAAAGGCATCATGGCAATTTTTATGAGTATTTAAAGAAGAAGGCATAGGCGTAGAATTAATGTTATGTGTCGGAATTGAAGGGAGATCGCTAAAGCTGATAGCTGGTGAGTTTTCAAAGCTGGACGGTGCTTCTAGCGCAAAAGGCGTTAGGTCATGGTTATTGTCAAGCATGTGCAAAAAATGTTGGTTATCTGTTAAAGAATTTTCAGCAACATGAACTGGTACAGAGCTCGATGCGTCGGTAGCATTAGCTGATACATTATATTGTACAAGACATAACTGAGGTGGCTGATTGTCTGTGACCTTGTCATCAGTAGATCCAAAAACGTCTTCCCATACTTCAGAGAGGTCTTTTTGAATGTTTTCAGCTCCTTCCGGCACTGGTGACGTTGCCAAAACTTCATGATTGCCCGTACCGGTTTCTAAAAACACATAATACACATTCGTAATATAACAAAAGTCAATAAAACAAAATGGCGTGAAATTGTTGTAAAAAGGTCTGCATAAACTAAAAATAGAAAAATAATTCACATATTGTTAGGCTTTTACGGAAATTTTGAGTTGGAAAAAAGGTATATCTCTATATCAAACAAAGAAAAAAGTTACATTTACACATATACCTCATAAGTTTTGAACCGATTCCATCGAAAAAAGTAACATTTGCACTTCGAACCCAATGTTTTGGTATAATTTCCGAGTAATATAGTAGTATGTTAAGAAGTGAGTGCAAAATTAACAGGTGATATACTTATTAACACGAGTACTTTAAATACGAAAATTATTGATACTTATTGTTTTCAAATATTTTGAAACGACAGTTAAAACTCCATAGAACAAAGACACATAAAAACTTGGAACCACTAATTTTAATTATTTCGCGTTGGAAGCTACCAGTTAAGAAAAAAGTTTATAAAATCTTTAAAAGTGCTAAAACTTTATTTAAAATAACTTAACATAATACAAAGTTTTGGTTGCTTACCTGGAATATCCATATTTTCATTATTTACCGCAGTGGAGTCGGACATAGCACTATTAGTTTTATTAAGTGTACGCTCTGATACAAGACTTAACATATATTTAGATCGCGCGTTTTTCATTTTGAAATCATAAAACATCTATTTTAATAAAAATATGTATTTAAAATTGCCGTTTGTAACAAAGACGTGCGCACGGGTCACCTCGCCGAGAACAACGACACAAATGCCGATGCGTCCCCCCGCGCGGTTTGCGTCCGCGTCGGTCTAGACGGCGATTATAGGTACTCGTACTTATATTGCTTTATTCTTTGGAGATATATAACACGTGTACCTTTATTCGACTGGTAACTTTGAAACTACATTACATAAAGAAAAAACGATTTTATCAATATAATATATAGGTTAGCTTAGCTTTATAACTATGATAAAAACAATTTGGTATCATAATCATATGTAACTTTGTTCTCCGTATAGGTCGATATGGTTTTTTGGAAAATATTTAGTAGTCCCTAATTTATTGACAACTAAAATTATTCCACAATAAAAAAGCAATATAAATATAGGTATGCATATAAATTAATGAAATTACATAGATAATGATATTATTATTGAAATAATATATTATACTAAATATAATAATTAAAATATTGTGAGCATGTTTTGTGGTAGAATAAATGCTATTTTTTATTTTTATTTTTTTTTATTATTCTCAGAATCTTACTTCTTACCCATATATCCCCGAAGCGGTCACCAGTGACCGCTCTCCACTAACTACATTATAGACCTTATTTCCAATGTTTAGAGACTACTTTTGTATGAACACATTTAAGGGATGATTTTACAATTAAAATTTGTTAAAACTAGTTTACACTCAAAATCAAAGTCAAATCATTTATTTCTATGAAACCATATTTGGTACTTAGGAAATATCAACACATACAAAAAAATAATAATAGTCTGTCCGTCAATGAAGACAGGTGCTCATCACAAAATGTAGATTCGAATGGAGAAGAACAAGACAAGTAAGAAACTCAATTCGTTCCTCTTTTTTAAATATTGTTTACAATCTCTCTGATACATTATTATACGTACCTATATGTAAGAACAAAGCAAAAACACGCTTGACGCATTATACAAATTACAAAACTTATTAAAATAAGACTGTTCTAAGAATTTACCACAGAAGTACAATGAAATGTCCTCTCATCTTTACTAGCAGAACTGTTTTAATAACTCATAAAATAAGAGAAGACTAGAGACCGTAGTTCTTTTATGAATCAGATAAACCGAACGTATCTGTTTGAAATTCAATTTTTAAATCTTGTTCCGATCCCGCTGCGGTAGGACGGGGCACTCTCGATAAATCAATGGACAATCAGCGAAAGAAAATATGGTAGAAAACGAGATCTTTTTCACTGAAATCTTATATTACTTTACTACTTATTATATAAAGCGG